TTTTCGCGATTCGGAAATCTTGATGAAGAGCTTTTTGCTAGAAACTCTCGCGAAAACGGAAATCTTGACCGCGAACGCTGGATGGAATTTAGCGCGAGGCAGAGGACATTCGCGATGCGGATAACGAGCGTCGACTCTCGAACTCCAAACAATTAACTTTCACAATATCTGAGCACTAAATAATGAAAGAACACGAATTGAGATGTGACCAAATTGCTCGCCGCGAGAATATGAATGCGATATTATGCGAGACAATTCGGACCTGAATATGAGACGAGTAAGCCTACTGCGTATGCGACACGAGCGAGAATAAGACACGAAAGAATATCATACGAGAAATGATGATATTCGAAACTATGATCGATTGCTATCGACCAGCTCGAATCGTTGTCGTAGGCAGACTAAATCGACCGACCGTGGAAACTCGCGCTCTGCCGATCTAAATAACAAGTTTTTCTGATTTCGAACCTTCGAGAACTGTTTTTTGTTGTTGCTGTTTGTCACAGGTTTTTATTCTAAGAAGAATGCGATCACGCACCGAGCGGGTGACCGCGACACTGTTTGTTCTCGCTCGTGTTTTATTTTCTGAGGCAATCGTTTTAATATAACGGCGAAATTTAGAGACGAAATTTTAATGTTTCAATTTTGAACATATATTAAGGTAGGATATCGTTTTTTAAATACAGACAATCTTGCGTTTCATTTTACGAAATCGTGTTTATTTTAATATTCGAGTGTAAGAGTGAACAAATATAAGCAAGACATATTATGTGAAAAATTGCGATTTATATATATATATATTGTATATCGATCTTACATTTTGGAAAAAGTGTAAGATATGATTTTATTTGTACCTTGCATTTTGTATAGGAAGCTTCTTTTCTTTAATCTTAATCTGAATGTGCTATTAATTATTTTTTAATTACTTATTAATTTGAATGTGCAAGCTCTCACCTTTTCTCGCAATATTTATTTGTATTATTAGACGCGAACTCTGTCTTTTTTGACCGAGACATTACTGTCGTCTGCATAACATCGGATATAATATTGATATATCTATATATGATATGATATCGGACACGATATACAGGATTACTGACACTGATTTGAATCAAGTGGAATTTCGGAGCAATCTCCCAATCGTGTCCATACTCGAATTCCGAAACGAGCTCGCGTTGCGATTGATTTTAAATCTCGAAGTTTTAAAGGCATGAATCTCCGAACAATATACTGTATATACTGTAAAATATGAACTGTATCCGTTCGAATAACTTTGCTTTCGATCTGAACTTGATATCTTTTTTTATAACTTGTTTTAAGCGTAGCGACGCAAACACTATGTATACTTTGCTCCTGAACTGCTTTATATCGTTTTCGCTCAGCCAATTTGGTGCTGACTAAGATCCTACGTATGTTAAATAGCTCTCAAATAGAAATCGGTGACAGCAACGTGGCACAGCAACTATTTTAAATATTTCTTAATTTTCGAGGCAACCCCTTTCTTCAATTTGAGAGTATCATTGCGACCGTGTTTTTCGAACCTATAAGGTCACGGTTTATTGTAACATATAAACCCAGTAAGCAATTTGATAACAAATTTTTGCCAAATTGGCATCAAATTCGCTCAAAACTTGGTAACAAATCCAGTGCCATCTGTGTCCGCATTAAGCTTGTGTTTTAGTGACAAAGCTTGCTGACATAACCTGACAGAAAGTTGACGGCAAAAAACGAGCAAAGCTTGACATGACTTGACGTCAGATTGGTGGCAAAAATCGAGCAAGATCTGCGCAAGACAATCTGACAGCAGATTGTCAGCAAAAACCGAACAAATTCTGCAGCTTTTGGCCATTCATATAAAATAGTATATTTAAATGGATTTAAAGTCTCAACCCTAAGTAACAAAATGATAATAAGTTTTGGTCATAAAATGACCATTAGATAATTAAACATTATATAAAATCATATATTAATGTGTTAAAACATATAGATAAATTTAAATAATTTAATTTATAAAATTAAAGATCTTTTTGGACAGAAATTGTTCGAATAAGTGAAAATCGAACAATTATTTGTCCGATTTGCCAAAAATCAGTTCAATATCTGAATTTCTTGTATAAGAATTGTGTCACAAATTGAACTGATAGAAATATATATATTATAATATAATTAGCATTTTGCAGGCTTTATATACACTCATGACAAGAATTTGAATACGAGTATAGATAATGAATAACGCGCCGCATAACGATAAGCGACTGAACTATTTTATAATACTTTGTAATAAGCTGCAGATTCTGTTCAGTTTTTGCTGCCAATTTGTCATCAGATTGCGCACTCCAGATCTTGCTCAGTTTTTGCCGACAATCTGATGTCAGTAATGTCAGTAAGCTTTGCTCGGTTTCTGCCGCCAATTTGCTGTCTAGTTATGTTAGCAAGCTTTGCTTGGTTCTTGCCGGCAATCTGCCAGCTTAATCGGTAATAACAACTCTTGTACCAAATTTGTAGCCTTTTTGCTGACAATAATTTGTAGCAAGCACTTGGCAATATCTGTTAGAACAGACGTGGCTGACTGGGAAGGTATACTGAAAATGTAAGATAGAAAAAAAAACGAAAAAAAGAGAATATAAACATATAAATGTTATGCATGCGAAAGAAAAATTGGATATGTAAATTATAAAAAAGGTTGACACGTATATCGATTGTACGACTGTATTATAATAAATTTGTGGAGGATATTAGTGTGCAGGATTGGGAAAAAATTAGTTTATAAAAATGACTTTCTACTCGTTGTCGATTTTAAAAAGAGGGCTGAAGCCATGCATCTAATGTGTGTATAAAAGATGACATTATTTTTATTATAAATGCATGTACTAATAATTTCAAATAATCAAAGAATCAATTAGAATCAAAGTTGTTAAAATGAAATGCATAATTTATTAGAATTTACGAAGTTATTTATATCTTTTCAAGTCATTTATGAGGCTCTTATATAAGTACCATAAGTCGCGTCATAAGTATCATTTTTTTTTCTAAACTATCAATAGAGATCTATTTATTAATAACAGCAATAAGGCTCAGAATACAAACAATTAAGTGGGAATACTGGCAGGTGAGAGCTAAGGCGCGATATTTCCACTTAAATCCATTTATTTTTCCAAGGGATTTCTCTCGTTTCTAATAAATAAATAAATAAACTGGAATCGTAAATCGAAATATTCGCGGCTTTCTATATTTATTGTATGATTTTCAAATTGTTTCGTATTAATGATTAATGAAAAAAAAAAATATTTTTCTTCTCTCACGTTTCTCAGTAATAATCACTAGCTCTATAATCGAATAAAAAATCGATTAATAATTTATAAAGTTGTGTAACTATTATTAGTTGACTTGTTTACTCTTATTGCTAAAGTTTTTTGTATCTCTTTAACCAAGCTCATAAAGATTTTCATTGAAATAGATCGGTGTTAAAAATTTAGATTTTATAATAATCGTATTAAATATAAATTTGCGATACATGTTTTTATACATATATTTTATATATTTTATATATATGCAAAGAAAAATATAATCGTGTTTAGAGAAAAAACATTAAGGTTTTTTGTTTATAATCAAACAGAGAAATCAAACATTGGCATATATATCGACTATATGTGTACGACTTTATTATAATAAATTTGTGGAGGATATTAGTGTACAAAAAAGATTGAATTTTATACCAAGGAATTTTAAAGTTCAAGATTGTCTGATCACTAATAGTCTCTTTGATAGTGGAGCACAGAAAATAAATCACCGTTAAAAGGCGAAGCGAGACGCTCTACGCGAGAAATTGCGTCTGACAGTTCAAGCTTCGCGGTATGAGCAGATCCATATAGTAATTGCTGTAAGATGAACAGTTGCGCCGGGCGTAGTACTCCATCGTGTATGAGCTGAACATGAGACCGTTGCCCAAGCAGAAGGAAAACCACATAAAGATGTTGCTGGTGGCGATTCTGCCAAGAAAGAGCAGAGAGAAGCCCAAGCCACCAAACAGGACGAACATCACCGGGTAGAAGAAGCGGAACGCGAACGCGAGGACGTACTCATGAAAGACGGCGGATACGAAGAACACGCCGAGTGTCGCCAATGGCTTGTTGCCCGGCACCACAATCTCGTACATGTCCTTGTAGATGTACACGTAGAGCCAGTCGTGCACCACGACGTTCCACGTGCGATAATATGTGCGGTAGCACGTGGAATTCCACCAATCCTGCAAATGACGAATAGTTTGTATAATTTACAGTCTGGTGTATAATTTTTCCAATAGCTTGGAAAAGTTGCCGAGAATCGGCCTTTGTTGCGAGTTAATTGAAATTTTTGCTCGCAGGACATTTCCGTTGAATGACAATCTAGCGACCATGTGAGTAAGACTCGCCTCATAAAACAATCGGTCGGCGAATCGCAGCATCTCTGCCCAGGCGTTCAACCACGCGTGCAGCAGAAGATAGTTTCCAGAGATGAAGAAGAGGATCCCGGGAATGCTTGCGTCGATGATACTCTTGATGATCCACTTTAGGTCCATATATCGCGTACCGAAAATGTTAAAGTTCGGCGCCACCAAGCGCTCCATGATGAGGGCGAGAAAAAAAATCACCAGGACGACCTCCGTGAGATTTTTAATCACCACCATCCATCTAATCTTGTCCGTTCTGGCAAATTGATCGCAGGTATTTTAATTTAAAAATTCAATAGTACGACAAATATTATAACATTATTGAAAACTGTAGAAAATTTCCTATTTTAATTCATTCAAGAATTTAAGATAATTAAGAATTGACTCTCGGATCACATAACTGCGGACGCTGGGTCAATTTTAATTTGTAATAGAATTTCTTTTCTCTATATATAAAGATATAAAAAAAAATATATATATAATAATATAATAATATAATGTGTAACATTATATATATATATTAAAGATGAAAGATTTTTGAACATTGGATCATCACAGATTCCAAGGAAATTTTTTACAGTTATAGAATGCCAAGGTCTTTATACCTTGGGTACTTATCGCGATATATGAGAGTCGGCGCGAACAGGAAGTATAAGTATTGCGAGAATCCGGGGCCACTCGGTTGCGAAAGATCGCTATGAGGCTTGTACGATATGAACCTGGGCGCCACACTTCTAACGAAAGCATAACTCTTCATCGTTAGGCGCATCTAAAAATGCAAACACTGATTTACGTTGGTCAAAGCTAAATTATTATTTCTATACATTGAATGCTTTAATTTATAAAAATTTTTAGAATTATATCTTTTATTATGATTGTGAATTATCATGTTAAACTTTAAAACATATACTTGTTCCAAAAGTATAATTAAGCTGCTAGCTATGCCTAGATCCTCGCTAAGCATCGCCCTGATGGGAAAAATTAGGAAGAGAACTTGATATAGTATAAAGGTTGTCAGCCAGCCATAATCCCACAATTTCCGGACGAGCGCTGCAAAGAAAGGAATACATTTTAATAATAATTGAATAACATTAATTGATTGAAATAATTTGTACAATTTAATTATATATATATATGTATATAAAATTAAATTGCACAAATTATTTTAATTAATTAATTTTATCCAAGTATTTTTTTAAATGTGGGAATTAATTATTCTTATATTATTACAACGCGCTAAATTTTACATAATCAATTAGTTGATCAATTATTATTACATAATAACTTTATTGATTAATTTTTATTTAATTAAATTATTATTAATTATTTTAATTTTGATTAACTAATTTGTGTAATTTAGTTATATTTTTTTATTAATTTTTTAATTCATTTAATTTATATATATTTTGAGTAAA